CACACCGCGCCCAGCCTGGTTTCAGATGACGGTGATTATGAAAACACGCATTCCGAATCCGAAACTCCAAGCTCAGGAGAAGCCGATGACGACGAAGACCATTATATACACGCCGAAGTGATAGATCACGATGAAATGGATATGGGAGAAGGCAGCTCTCACGACCATCATTTAAGTTTAGGGGGAAAACCACGCGGTCCCGCTGCCGGCAGACGCTCTTCGGCATTGAGACATCCGAGTGCAATACGAGATGAGGCAGGAGAGGATAGGCATGTCAGTTTTGCAAGCCCCGTGAGACGGCTGGGGAAAGGTTCCAGGGCGAAGGATGATGTGTGAGCGCATGATTCAAGTGGGGCACAATCTCAATGATTTCAACATGTGCAACACAGCTTTGCGTACCAGTACTATACCACAGATTGGGATGTTTTTTTAGCGACGGAGTTCAGGGTTTTGGGAGGTCCAGGGTGGTTCCCGTGTCGGATGGTCGCTCATGTGGCTCGCGTGAGCGAAGATTAGCTCGGTTTTATGCCTGGTCTGAGAGCAGCATTATTGTATTTTAGACAACATATTGGTAGGTAGCAAGGTTGGCTGAGCAGAAGCTGTGTGGAGGTGGCTGATAACAATACTTCATCATCAAACTCACTACCTCTTCCCAGCTTGCCGCGTGAGACTACAAATGATGTTTCTTCTTCGTGATGTGATTCGAAAGCCCAATGGGGCAAGGTCAGTTGACGACCAGGGTCTGTCTGAACGAGGTAAAGATCCATGCGAAACAGCGATGGAACCCATATCTCTCTCAACGTGTCAACCGGCATGGCCGCACTCAAGCTCTCGTCGGCCGGGTGAATATCAGTCGCCGGGGCAGCGGTGGACTATTGACATGGATAGCATGAGAGATGGCTCCAACTTCAAAGCGTCGTCTCTTACTTGCCGAAGCTACGAAGGAAAGCTGCCTGACGCGGAAAAAAGAGGGTGAGGGGGACAAGGTATGAGGCCAATGACGGTTGAGCTGTAACACAGTGCTTTGGGGAAATCAGCTTCTGAAAAGCATCATAAGCACAAGTGACAAAAATTTACGTTTTCGAAGGCTAATATCCCACTTCTCGTTATGAATGAATGCTATGTCTACAGCCAAGAACGCTGACTGTTGGTTCCACCCAAATCCCTATGAACAATAATTTTGGTCGCGGCCTGCCCTAGCTGTATGCATGCCTCGGACTTCAAGACGACTCCTCCAAGGCTCCAACGGCTCTGCTTGGCCGCCAGCTTCATCTGCCGGCCTACTCCTGTCCAAAGCCAACAGTCTCCTCCACTGCAATAGTGAGCTTCCCGGAGAGATCTTCATAATTCTTGTAGTCTGGCAGGTCCAATCGATTGAAGCTGCATGCCATGTTAGTAAACGCCAGACAAGCAAGGCTAGCGAATATATTCATCGTCCTTACCAAGTATGGGATTTAGGCAAGGCCTTGTCAGAACCTGATTTCTCAATTGTAAACCTTCTGGGCCCATCACTTCCTTGCAAATCCTTAAAGCCGTTGACCGGTATACGAGAGGTGCCAGTTGCGAACTGCAATAATCTAGACTTCTGCTCTGCGTCCCAACTCCGAATGCACTGCGAAGTCACATTAGCAGCATTCTCAGATGGAGGAAATCGAACACTTACAGTCCAGAAGTTCCTGATGACCTGATCTTGCTCTGTGTAACCTCTATAGTCTGTGTGCTTCTTCCAGTCTTCGACATCAATATCTGCGATGCCTCCAATCAGCAGTTCCAGTTCACGTTCATCGAAAACATTGACAAGATCTGGTGGGATGAGCTCGTTGAAGCCGGTAACGAATGCGTTGAACTGCTCTTCCACTCGCTTCTGTATTCTCCACTCCGTGATAAGCCTGCAACAGGTCAGTGAGGGCCCAAAGAGCATAATGGTTTATGAAAAGCGTACTCGATGTATTCCTTTTTGTTCTCGTTGGTCACTTCAATGTTCCTTCCGTTGGGCTTTAAGTCGATAGTCTGAATCTCTCCAAAACTCTCGTCTTCTGTCGAGAACGTCGGCTCTATGACGCCTTCGATGTCATTCTCCCTGCATGAATCTTAGTGTTGCAAGCAGCACAGCAGACAAGGAGCCTTACAGTGTCCAGGTCAGCGTTCTGTGGAAATCAGCATCAACCCCCTCCATATCCGCAAGAGCAACTCTCTTCCGTAAGATCATCTTATAGAACGCGCCGATGAAGAATGCATCAAGAAAGCGTCGGTGGAAGATGGCTAAGCCGACTACTCTTCCAATGAATTTGAAGTAGTTCAAATGTTCAGGGTTGATGCCAGAGTGAGGATTGATCTGAAGGGTATAGTTGTCGTGGGCGGAGTATTCGAAAAGGCAGTAGAAAGGGTTAAACATTTCGTGAGATAACAAGAAAAAGAACTCTCTGCTCCAAGTCAGTATTGTTTGTGGGCGGTTCATGTAATGTCAAACTCACCTTGACAGTCCGCCATAGTCCAGACCGTCTTCTCCGTCGAATTTGATCATCAGTCGTTTCTTCAAATCATTGGCGTTCTGCCGCATAATCTCAGCATACGAGTCCTCAAAGATGTGGTCTCTTCGGACTTTGACATGGCATTGACCAGACAATATTCGAAGAGCAGGCTGAGACCGGAAGTAAATAAGTTTACGTCGGAAATCCCGTTTGTACTGTGGGACGTTCTGGTCTAACGATGATGGCAACCGAGGGTCATCCCAGGTTGTTGTCTTTGTGTTGTGATCCACAAAATAGACTCTTGCAGTATTGGTCAGACGCATTTCCCATCCACTTGGAAGGGCACCTAGTTGCGATACCGGCTGGGTTTGAATTGTGGTGTTGTTGCCGCTTGGATTTTGGCCGTACATGCGAATATACTGCTGTCGACGAGGATCGACCCAGGTAGTAGTTCGCGTGTTGTGGTCGACGAAATATGATCTGCCTTCGGGTGTATGCCGTTGTTCCCATCCTGCAGGAAGCTCACCAGTTCCAGCAGTTGTCGCACCGGTGGCCATCATAGACACTGCACTGGCAGTATTTGCAGATGCTGGCGGTGGCGTCTCCATCTGCGTTGGCGAGTTGGCCCCCGTACGATCCTCTGGCAGCATACGGTTTTGATGTGCGCGCCGCTCAAGCTGGGTATTGGCCTCCATGGCCGTTCGTTGATCCCTCTCATTATATGTAGTTGAGGGCCTCGTCCAGGTTGTGGTCCTCGTGTTGTGATCTACGTAGTAAGTTCTTCCTAGATTATCCTCCCGCCTCTCCCAACCTGCAGGCAACATTCCCTGATTGTCTCTGAATGAGCTGAGGTGACCTGATCCACTGAGCCCGGCCTGATTGCTACCGTTCGCGTGAGGGGGGCTGCCCAGCGGAACGCCGGGAGGGGCTGGATTCGGATGAGATGGAGCAGGACTATGGGGCGGTGGATTGTCCGACGGAATGTCGCTGGAAGGCCCAGCGGAGCCTACAGGCGATCTCGGGGGCGCTCCGTTAGATGTAGATGCTATGCTCCCACCTCCTACGGATAACGGTGGGCCGGGATGTCCAGCTGCGTTTGACTGTGTAGCAGGTGATCCAAGGTTTGTGGACAAGTTGACGATAAGCTTTCCGTGGACGATCAGGTTGTCGTTGGACTTCTTGAGGTCTCGGGTAAGCATTTCTGGACGCTTCCCATCAGCACTTAATCCTTCCAACCGGGATGATCATTGAGGAAGGGTTAATGTACCATCACCGCCGATGTCCAAATCCATGACTGTACCAATTCGCACGTTAATCACGCCGAGAAACCCTTGATCCTTTTTCTTAAACTTCTTTTGATCAAAAATCTGTATGGCCAGGATGCTTTCTTGTGATGCTCGCCTATTGTCTGTCAATATCCCTCAAGATGGCCGTACTGCGAGGTATCCGTACATGTCAAAACTCTCGTTCCAGTATGGGTTCAGCGTCTTCTTGATGACTGATGTCGTTCGGGTCTGCTCTCCTCCTATCGTAGCCACAGCGAATGGATCTGGGAATCCTATAGTGGGGTACGTAAGTACGATCGGAGCAATAGCTTGGAGGGTGGTTATTGACTAACTGAAGACGTCACGTTTGTAGAGACCGTCGGCCGCAATTACTGCACCACATTAGCATCGCTCTGATATTTCGCATTCAGCCTATCCAGCAAACGTACTCGTCACCCTCAAGTTCGGCGCCCTGGCAAAAGACATTAGCAATGCACGATGAGCTCACCAACAAAAGGTACGGCATACTGCGGCAAATCTGAATCCATGCTGCTTATGCTTGACCAGGAGGTCGAAGAAGAGTATCTGCGTCTTTAATGGCAGCCTTGGAAGAGAGATCCGCCCGATACGGACGCGGAGTGGGTTGGGGAAAGCGGTCGTCGACGGTTGAGGCTCGAGGGGGCTGTGAAGCTGGGTCCGATGATCCGACTCTGTACAGCGACTACGTACATTTCATCGTATCATACTTGGTATTGTGAAATGGTTGTACATGAGAAAGAGCAAGCATATCATGTAGAGAGCGACGTTGGTCTGGTAAGAGCGAAGGAAAGTGCATTGGAATTCTTTCCCCTCTGCGCCGTCCTTTGCTCGAATTAGAACGACCAGTCAGCAGCCCTACAGGAAACTCCCACTACGGAATGATACCTCGCTCGTCAACCCATAGACAAGGAGTGTTCTGAGCGCACCCTCTGATTCGATATAAATTGTGAATCAAGCTCAAATCTCCTTTTATATCGGCATCTACTTTATCCAAATAGATTGGTGGAACAAGTTCCGAGATTCGCTGATGAAAAAATGGCCCGGTTTTGTCCCCTTGATCTTCCCACGGAATACCTCTTAACAAGCTCCATTTTCATTGCTTTTCAATCTTGAGGCCTCCTTCCTGCAGATGAGTATGAACCTCTGCATCTGGGCCGGTGACCTCGCGGATGCCTTTTAAGTCTTTCCGTTCGTCTGTAACACCAATGACCATCTCGCCTTCATTTTATCTTTCAGTATGGAGCGTAGCCCCTAGGTCGACCTCGATATCCTCCACGATATCCGCCTCTAGGGGCATATCCACGATCATATCCTCCTCCTCTATCATAACCCCCTCGCCCGAATCCACCTCGACCACGAGGAGGTCCTGCTGCACGCCCACCGCCGCGACCACCGCGAGTCATGCCCGGTAAGTTAGTTCGCTTGGGGACAACCTGTGATGGTCAGTGTTATGCTGGTTAGGAGAGTCTTGAAAGGCGGTGATATACCTTTAGATTCCTGCCTCTGAACATGCTCTCGTTAAGCACCAGAGCTTGCGCAACAAGATTGGGCTCCGTGAATTCTACGTACGCATAGCTGTGGTTTGATTAGATTTGAATTTCGCTTAGGGCATCGCATGCAGATGGCTTCTCACCCTTTGGGATGTCCAGTGAACTTGTCCAGCAGGATAGTGACCCTGTTGATAGAGCCACAGCTCTGGAAATGTGCCTGGATCTCCTCTGGCGACGCGCCGTAATCAACGTTGCCGACGAAGATACTGCGCGCATCGATATCTTCCTTGTCCTCTCGCAAGTCATTGTCCTGCTGATCCAGCGATGCTTGCATTTCCCGCAGTTTCGCTGCCTCGGCTTCCATCTCGGCTACCCGTCTCTTCATCGCTGATATTTCTTCCTGCACAACTTTTTATCAGCGCCCATTCTTTTACAGTCTTGCAAAGCCGCCAGCCTCCCCAGGAGCACGGTGCACAGGTCGTGGTGATATGTAGATAAACGCTCCATCTCTTACTTCATCATCTCCACCTTCGTCCTTGATCTGAGAGCGCTCATCTTCTGCTGCAACACCGTTGTCTGACATGATGAAGAAGTGTTCTACTCCTGTGACTGATCCTTTCGATCAAGCGTTCAGTCAATTCCTGAGTGTTGCGCAATTTGGTCAATAGCGATAAGACATGACCTAAGCAGAAGTGGTGAGAATAGAGGCACACTCTGTCATGGAGAATGGAAAGACAACTGGAAAAAAGGACGAGGAAGGAATGAATTCCTGGTCCTTGAATGCTGCACAAGGCTTAGCGGATACTTAGCGCTACAGGGATCATTCTGCCTTGTTTGCCACCAGCGAGAACACGTCTTCACTAAAAACACTCGGTGACTCGGATTCATCAATTATGTCATAGCATGGCCAAACTGTCTTACTTGGAATCTATATCTCTATTCATTTTCTCATCTGTCGAACTATACCCTGAAGACTGTACCTATCAGAGAAGATCCCCCCAGCTGCTCATCATGCCATGTCCGGCCCCATCGCAGGCGTTGTTCCTGCAAGCCTCGCCTTCTTGGCCATATACAATCCTTCCCTGAGCACATCTGACGATACTTTTCATGAACAAATCGTGTATTACTACTCGAAGTCTAGCAACGCCCGGCGCAGCGGCAAGGCCAATGACAACGATAATGGTGAGGACACTAAAGAAGAGAAGAACGAGAAAGAACGACAGATTGGCCTCGCTCAAGGAATGGTGGAATTCGCAAAGTAACTGCGTTCTGGAGACAAATGCGACTTCTTGGCTGAGAATGTTGTCAGGAGCTTTTCCAATGGCAAACCTGTAGATTCGATTGAAACAGAAAGATCTCGAATCATCCTACACGAGCTTGAGACGGATTGGTGGCTCTTGGCAGTATGCAATCACGCTTTCGGTCTGCCTTTCTTGACTGATTCGCATCGTGTAGTCTGTCGATTTGACCCGCCTGCCGAGCTCCTCTGAGACAACCATAAAGAACCAGTCCCAGAACGTTGCGATTCCAATCGAGTATTCAGCTCGCGAAGTCTGTCCACCAGCTCTACTTCTGCAGCAGATTCTCCGCGCACATCAAATTTTCCTCCTACATCAAGCCTCTTCCGTCGCCGAGTTGTACACGCGCGTCGGGAAACCAAAATTGTGTGGGTTCCTGAAACGGTTCTGGGATGCATTCATCTGGAGTTGGGATGTGTTGTTGCATGGCAATCCTGCTGTGGATATTTTCAACGGACTCAAACTCGCCGCGGGTGGTGAACTGGGTATAGGCGTTGGAGAAGAAGACTGGGGCAGTGGGGAAAGAGAAGTCCTCGAAGGGTTTATTGGCAGGACTGAAGGCCTTGTCGATCTTGTTGTCGCGAGGTTCGGTGATTCAGCTCGTACGAGTCGAGATCCTTCCACGAGCTCCTCAGCAACGCCAAGTTCGCGTGACACTTATCCGGACTGGCAAGTCTCCGAAGAACGTATTCCAGGACCTGCAGATGGAATTATCTTCTCGGGAATTGGTGCGTTGAATAGAGCTTCCGTGAGGAACATTTCGAGTTGGATGGAATGGCTGTATATGTATGGACAAGATAGCTACGGTGTTCGAGACAACCCATCTTCCGCTCCTCGTCGGAAACGCAGAAAAGTCCAGCCCTCCAGCCCAGATTATCAAACGCCGAGTCAGCGGTCTCCGAAGCAGCAAAAGCGTCCCAATTCTGTATCTTCGCACAGACAGGGCTCAGGTAGCTCATCTGGCCCAGTCACTGGAATCCCTGCGTCTCTTCTTACACCGCTTAGCGTGCGCGAAATCCAAGATCGAAAACTTTCAAGCGTAAGGAAGGATGAACCAAGGAGTGATGTGCAAAGCGCGGCAAATAGTAACTCGCAAGACTCTGCGTACGGCACAGAAACCATGGTTAAGTATCTAACACTAGGAGTCTATGGATCAAGTTGGGGTATTCCATCTGGGAGACCGCCTATCAATCAACGAGTCTCGAGTCTCCGTAAAGAAGACAGCAGTAAAAATAGGCAGTCAACTAGCCCCGAAAATGAGGGAACAAAGACAGATTCGGAACTGCCAGGCGGTAATTTCTTGATTGGACTTCAAGGCCAGCTCGAGGAGGACTTGCAGATTTCGGAAGATGAACAAGAGACAGCAGCGGGGACAGACGGGGAAAATGTATCCGAAGAGGGCATAATGCTGAAGAACAGGATAGTCATAAGAACGCTTCATGTTGAGCGAGCCAAAAGGATAGCCGAAGGCTCTGACGGATCCCAGGCCAGCGAGGACAAGCCAATGGTTGAAGTTGATCGTGACCGACTAAGAGTCGTGGTCTACGTCCAACAGCCCTTCATATTTACATTCCTGTTCGAGCTCCAAACTGACGCCCTCGCAATGCCATCATTCTACCGATCTCTACACCACCAACTCGGGCCCTTACGGCGTCCACTCCTTGCAAGCACATCACCCAGCAAAGTCTCTGAGCGATTGTGGGAAGCCGCCGCTCTAAAGAGTACTGCATCTACGAAGAGTTCTCAGCCGATCTGCGACCTTGTATATGATCCGGCGAGATTGACTGTGCATACCACGATCCCGAACATCCCAGAACCTGGGCCTTATGCTGGTGACAGCCAGGAGGCACTATCGTGGACTCGAGTCGAAGCTTTGAGCGTTCACTCTCAGATATTGAATACGTACAGCTCAACGCGCCGGCATACTCTCGAGCAAGAAAGGACTTCGAAGACTAGCAGACAATGGTGGGTGGTCTGGATGCGTCTACCTCAGACGGGGCCCGCTCGGGGCACCGGCAGTGACGCTTATCGTGAAGCCTTCCTCATCAGGAAAGCAAGTGACTACGTCCCGCCTGCAGCGAGAAAGTCGAGCGGCAGATTTGGGAGAGAGGTAAGCGGATCTGGTGCAGCTGGAGGATGGGCCCCTGGGAAGCTTGCAGAGGGTATTGGGATCGATGCCAGGCAGTACATTGAAGGTCTCCTTAGCCTCAATCGGTAGCCCCACAGTGATGTAGAATTGGAGACATCTTCTCACAATTCTCAACCCAGATGCCTTGTCCTTTGCTTCTCTATTCCCAAGCATGTCAAAAAAAACACCTCCAGAGTACAGGTACTGGGTTTTTATGACCTTTGCAAATCTTTCTCATGTCAATAACATACCTCCCGAATGGTCCCGTGCCCTGACAAGAATGTAGGCGCTTGACCAAGTATTAGACATTTTCATAAGGCCTGGAGGAAGAGAGGCGGCGATCAGGAGTATGATGGCGGTCCCGCCGCGATACTCCTTTTGGTGAGTAGGCCATGTAGAGTATATCGCGGTCATCAGGAGAAGTTGGGAAGCTTGTCTTCTCTCTGACAGAAGAGTTGTTATTCTTACCAAATGAAGGTCCAGCAGGGTAAGGTTCTGTACCTGCAGGCGTACTATAATCCGTAGACCACCTATCATCTGCTCCAGGAGTACAGTATGGGTGGAAGCGTGTGAGCACTGAGAGCCTCAAAGCACTTGCTTACAGCTAACACTAGCGACAGGGGTTTCAAAAGGGTTGGAACGAATCAGGAGCTGCCTGGTCAACTTTTGTTTCTCCCCCGCCGCCCGGCCCCCGAATGAAGATCAATCTTAGGCCGCAGCCCCTGCAGTCCCTCGGCTACGTTTTAGTCTGCCAAATATCTCCCTCCACCACTCTCTTCCTTCCTTTCTTGCTTCCTTTCTTTCTTTCTTTCACTCTTCACAACTGCCCTTTCCACCTTGTCTCACCTTCTTTATCTACCACTTTCATTTTCTCCCTTCGCTGTCCTAGTGATCAGCATCCATTCATTCTTTCAGAGCCAGCATTCACCTTCTTTTATTCTATCAAGACCTCAATTTCCTCCGATACACTTACGCCTATAGAACAACTAAAAGTCCACTCCAAGACACCATCTAAGCAATTCAATCGCTAGTCGATTTATCACACTCCTTACCCCATTGATCCTCCATTTAAAAGTTATTCACAACCAAAGGATTCTCATCAGTAGTCATGAAGCTGTCCACAACACTCGCTTTCGGCGCCCTCTTGGCCTTGTCTTCCGCCATGCCCTTGGAGAGGAGACAAGACATCACTATTACCACCACTGTTGACGTCATCGAGACCGTTGACGTGATTGTTACCGTCTGGCTTCCACCTGGGCGCCAGCCGGCCGATCAAGACCAACACCAGCAAGCCGCACAGCCAAATATACCAAACCCAGCACCGGTCGTTCATATTACCCCTGTGCAAGACGCAACTATTCCTGCCCAAACCCCGCCTCCAGCAGCACAGCAAAATCCCAACGCAGCAGCTCAAAACCAGGCGAATCAAGCCCAAGAACAGACAAATCATGCCCAAGCAGCTAAGAATCAGGCTGCTCAAGACCAGTCAATTCATGCGCAAGACCTGGCAAATCAAGCTCAAGAACAGGCGAATGACAATAAGGCAGCTCAGAACCAAGCAGCTCAGCAACAGGCAGCTCCTGCACCAAAATCACCACCGCCTGCAGTCCCCGCCAATAGCCCAGCAGCAGCTCCTGCGAAATCTCCAGCAATCCCACCAGCGACCCAAGACAATACTTCGTCCGATCAGACACAGCCAACATCTGGCGGCTCATGCGGCGAAAATGGAGGCACTTGTACAGCCACCAATGTCACCTATTTCGGAGGCGGTTTGGGTGCTTGTGGCTGGTCCAACGATACAACATCCGAAGACTTCTTTGCGCTTGCTCACGGTGCGTTCCCCCTCGCTCTTTCCTTACCTGCCCACAAACAACTGAGGGAAATCACTGACATTGCAATTGTGTAGACATGATGGGTCTGCAATCAAACGGAAACCCCTTCTGCGGTCGTACAGCGGCCATCGTGTACCAGGGCAAGACGATCCACGGAACTCTGACAGACAAATGCATGGGCTGCGTAAGTTTCTCCCTCAGTAATTCTTCCGGCTGCTATTGGAATCTGACAAAGAACTGTGTAGGGTCTTCAATCTATCGATCTCTCGCAACACCTATATGATCAGATGTTCGTTGAGAGCGTGGGCAACTACCACGATGTCGAGTGGCATTTCACCAGCTAGATGTTGTATTATATTTACAGTCGGTAGGCTTTGCTAGTCGGACGGGTTACCGAGGTACATGTTGCATGACGAGCATGGTTTGGAGCATATCCTTTCGGCGAATGGGAATCTTTTGGAGCACATGGCCTTCAGCATAGAGGTTGGATACTTCCACGAGTTCACGGTCATCACGACCTCTTCGACCCATGATGCTGAGCATTAGGGTCAAAGAAAGGCTTTCATGTACATTTTTACGAGACCACAAGACAGCAAGGGGGTCTGATTCGGTGGTGGTATGATCACCGGTCTTTTTATATGAACCTCGCCCCAGATGGGAAAGAGAGAATTCTCAAATCAAATCAAACACAAGCAATTATCACCCGCATGCTTTGTTCTCATGTGTATCTTTCCACCGCACTTCGAATGTCATTTCAGCTCTGTGGCCCAAGGGGTCGTAGAGCAACCAGCCGTTTGATACTGGTCTTTCGCCCGTATCTTGCTGTCAAGAAGGATACGATTTTTATCTTGGCAGTCAAAAATAGAACACTTCGCTGAACTGCTGTCTGTGAACAACAAATAGACACAAGACAGGGTACGAATTGATAGAACGGACAAGACTAGATGAGTATCCCGGACGCGCGAGGGCTAATCGTAACGCAAGTGATTGAGTATAAGTTTTGCTTGGCCCTTTGGTCCAATCCTTCACGACCTATATCTTTCTCCCTAAGACCGTTCAACCCTCCAACCCGCAGAACCATCGAGGCTACAATGTAAACGTCGCGATCACTGACAATCCGGACCGAGACTGCAACCAAGGACGTAGCAGGGCCCTTTTACCTCGAAACCTGCAAGTTCCTTTCCTTATCTCGAAAATGACAAGCTTTGACGCTGCCTTTCTGACGGGACATGGTGCACAGTAAGGACGCAACGCAGGTGGTTTTGAGCTCCTGGCCTGTGGAGGAAGGGTTTGTGTCGCGCTGCGATCTTGATCTCTTGAGACCATGCGAATGTAGTCCGTTGGCCGTCTAGCGTCAATGAACCCAGTGATGATGCTTTGCCTTACACCAAGAGGATGCCCAGGGTACCGGAGTAGAGTTTGTACTCGTGCAAGTCGAGAAGCGACGATGATAGGGTTTGTATAAGACACGTTTTCATCGCTGACGACATCCCTTTGAACTCTTAGAGAGGAAATGAATCAGTATATCATACATGCTCACTCGCTGGTCAATCCTATTCTACATGTCTAGACGGAAGACTTCTCAAATATGCCGAAGACTTGGGAGTGCCATCAGACTTGCTATAGACCGGTGAGCGTATGCTAGGGAGGGTTTGTAATTCGATGAGACATACATCATAGTAGGCTTTTTCACGACCTATTTCAAGTCGAACCTCATCCAATCTGATGGTCGCCCCCTTTTTGACTGCGTCCATGGCCAACTTCTTCTTAATGTGGCAATTTGCGCGGTACCTGCATTGTGTCGTGCACTTCCAGAAATCATCATGTATTGACGTTGATCCATAAACATCAATCATCAACGTGAGCACTATTAACCCAGTTGTGATAGATACTAGTTTCAGCGAGCTAAGAGAGTCGGCTAGTGGTAGGAAGATGAGAATGATAGCCACAGAGACTCGTACGGAGATCCGGTAACGCTTCCCAATACGCTCGCCGTCAAATTCTTTATGGACGTGGCATAAGGATATGATGCCTAATTAGACGTCAATAGGTGGGCTGCAAGGGAAGACATTAGAAGGATGCAAGTGGCGTACTCATGGAAAGTAAAGCAACTCCCAGGCCTGCACAGTAAAACCATCGTAACCCAGATGATAACTCTGACTTAGAGCTAGCAGTATATGCGTCTGTCAAGTCATCAACATTGGCATCATGACAGTCGGTCGCCAATACCAGCCGGGACAGAGATGCCCCAGCCAGGACATAGGCCATGATGAATGGAAAATGAATTGTAGTCCAAATAATGGCTGCGGCAGAAATGTAAGTAATAAAGCAATCATTTACTCAAGGTGTGGAGCTTACAAGTCATGAAGTGCCGGCGGATGGCATGTGTGTGTAGGTTCCACGAATCTGGATATTCAGTTTAGCATGGCCAGTTACCGGAGTTCTACCCACGTACCAATCTCGAAATATAGCCAATTGAAGCTGAAGGCCTGAATCAGGCCTAAGACAGCTTTACCAAAGAATCTGTTCCGTGTCAGCGAAAGCGATTTGAAAGGGAATGAAGCATGTACGCATTGATTCCATAAGCGGCTTTGTTCTGAAACAAGAGGGCAACAACGCTGTACCCAAAGACCAAGGTGACGAATGCATTGGTCCGCTCCGCTGTTGAACGCCAGTCAATACCGCAAATGAATGAGGAGGTAGCCCATACTCTTGTGCTCAATGTTGATAGCTGACCGGACAAAGGTTAGTCATCGCTGCAGACTTAAGTCGCTTGACCTCAAAAGACGGCTCACCTGGAAGGAAATCGAAATACTTGGGATGATTTGCTACCCATGACGAGTGTTTTACTTCGGCCCACCGCCTGAGAAATACTACGCATAGTACCCCGAACAAGTCTGCAAATACTCAGCAAAAATGGTCCCAAGCTCAGAGCTCGCGTAGGTAGACCAACCCAAAAAGATCGCAATCCAAACCAAGGCCAAGCGATCAGGGTATTCGACTTGAACGCTGGCGACCCAGACTGCAGCAGGAATAGCAGTGCAAGTGGCGTTGAATATCATGTATACTCGCACCATTGGCAATAGATATCCAATCCACAAAAAATGGACGGCGTGGAACAGCCTTTGAGCGAGCTATCAGGTGTTAGCCAGAGGAATGGGTGACAGGCCGGCAGTTGAAATAGATGGCAGCTATAGCGGTTCAAGCCCCTTGGAATTTTGATAACGGTGGAAACGAGGACAAGGTCACAGCCTTCCAATGCTCTTCATGAGTACTTCAAGGCTGCTAATGTGCTTGGCTTGCTTCCCTAGTCACGCACCAAGCAGACCAAGCCAGCACCCCAACAACGCCACTTTGTCTGACGGCTCACCAGAATGATGTTGCAGGGAAGACAGCAGGAAATTAGTACTAACGTAGAATGCGATAAGTGGTATCCACGTAGTCTCAAAAGACTGGGCGATGTTCAAGGTGAAGCCGAAGAGACATATCATCAGAAAAAGCACAAGAATGCGCTGGAAAATGTCATCTACGAACGATCAGTAGACCGCGTAAGCATGTCAAGGGGCTCACCGACTTGTCTCAAACCAGGATATTAGCAGAGTAAGGTCGGTCCACATCTTGAACGCCAGGGCGAACGTGATAGTGAACTTGAGCAAGTTAAAGCCTGTTGCGTTCTCTGCGGCAGTGTCCCCTATGACAGAGATAATTCCAACGTAAAGCAGATCGACGAAAAGCTCGAAAGAAGCTACCTCTTCGACTTCGGACGCTCGCCAGAGAAGGCCTCTGTGCCAATACTGGCGTACTATTGGCTTTTTCCAGAACTTCAAAGCCTGGCCTTTCCGCCGCTCGGCTTCCCAGTCACGATGAGAAGAAGACTGGTCACCGCTTAGAGAGCTGGTGGAAGAGTCTGAATCTTTTGTTCCTATACCTCAAGGTATCAGCATTCTCCTACTTGCGCAGAAGCCGACTCTGTCCTCACTGATATGGGCGTCATAGCCGAATTTCGAGAAATTGGCGTTGAGGGCCACACCATGGTTACTCAGATGCAGAAGTTCGTCTGCCAATGTATCAAGCTCTGATCTGACGAGCTCGAATTCATCATAAATCGAGCCATGTTGAGTGCGAAGATCATGACTCCGATTCTCATGAAATGCGTGGATCTCTCTCACTGCTTCGAGCTAGAGTATATGTCATATGAGAGAATAATGTGCCATGTTACAAGATTCGAAGACTCACGTGTTCCGTCGAACCCTGGAGGTAGCAATCGAAGTTGTCGTCTGGCTCAATGTTGGGTAGAGTACTGCAAACGTTTCGGAGTCAGAATTGCTTCTTCAGGCAGGGATTTGAGACAGCGAACATCCTAATCTACTCCCCAAATACATTTTTCGACGCCTAGCCAACCTGGAAGAAATCACACCAACTGTTTACATACCGCGTAAGATGAACATGCTCTTCTGGTGTACCAGCGATGTGTACTCTTCTTCCGTTCGGCCTGAGTAATTTTCTTAGGCGTCGGCCGGTATGGAGATGTCCATGAGAGGCTTGGGGCGGAGTTGTATTATCCAAAGGCGGTGTAGACGTGGTTTCCATTGAATTATATCAATATTCAAGAGGCTCGAAGCTGATGCATCAAGCCGATAGCGCGATTCTAATCACTATTTCTCAAGATTCCTGCGGTCATTAAGATTACTTAGTATTGCAAGAAGTACCTTGTTTATGAAAACCAAATGTCTTTTACAATCGAAGGCTGGAGTCTTCCCGTGTTTGAACTACGCCGTACCTATACCGTATAAGTATAAGTAAGGTAATCTATACTTTTAGTTTGCATTTTACCTACCTATCATTACTTTAAGTTTAGTTGGCAAGAAGTTTGGGATCATCTAGTAACCAATCGTATCAATTATCATTAGGAAGTCCTGTCTGAAATCAAACTGTTCTACTCGAGAAATCGGGTCTCCTTTGCTTTTCGTTAAGGAAACGGGCTTTCAAATTTAGACGGTTGAAATGCTTTCAGAGAAGAGCTAGATTGAGTGTGGAAAGACTTGGTGTCAACAGTATGTTTTTTCCTAGAGTTAGGATTTCCCTTCTTAAGGAAATGGCACTGGAAATAAGCCCCTATGGACACTATATCCTACTTTCATTCTTCTCTACCAAGTCACCCACACCTAGTACTCTCCCCAACCTGACCTTTCTCTTCTTCCCTCTCTCACCCCCCTTCTTCCCCTCTTCCTTTTTTCCTACACTGCCAACCTCATCGCCTTCGTCCACGTACGTGTCCTCTAACGCCTCTCGCAGATTGGTCAGGTCCATCTTCATGCTATATGCGTCCTCCCCATCAGCGTAGTACTTGGACTCCACCTTCTCGACCTCGAAACCTAGCGTATCCCTATATAAACGTAGCGCGGCGATATTGGCCAATCGAACATGAAGAGACACATATTGTGCACCGAATGTTTCGACCATAGCTCTTTCTAGTGGAAAAGATCTTGCGTCAGCTTCATGAAACCCTTCTTTGAGATCGGTCTGCCTCTCGGAATGGTACACTCGGCGCGTGTGGGAGAGATAGCGCATACGACTCTGCCTCATGAGTTTTTCCGCCAATCCTAACCGTCTATGCGTTCTCATAACACTCAAACTTGTGATGTGCCCATGTTGTATCCCATTCACGGGCTCTTCTTCCATTTTGGCCAGCACGTACCCGACAATCTTGGGAGGATCGTAGGGTGTTTTTTTAGGACGAGAAACATCGACGGCAACGTAGGAGAGTTGTGGCCAAGAAAGAGCATGGTAGAGGTAATACTTGAGGAAATAATTCTCTGGTAGATTCGTGATATTGGTGGACTGTACGTGGGGGATGTCGGCCGAGGTCAGTACGCGAATATCCATTGGTGCAAATCTGGACACTTTCAGGCTGCCTAGTCTGCACTCGTTGTGAGCTTGCGTGTTTGCAGTCGCTTGGAGAGTTGAGCTATGAGACCGTTGTTCGGTGATAGGACGATAGAAAGTAAAAGTTCTTGGCACTGTTCCCGAAGGCAGCTACGAGTACCCATTTCCAAGCCGAGGCAGTCCGGCGATCAAGCAACTTCATGCCGCTGGCCGGGTAGCATCAACCACCAGGCTGGAGCCTGGAGAAAAGCCTTAGAGGTATGCAGGCCAAGGAATCATTGGAAGATATCTACTGGATACCAGGATATCTGGCCCTGAGAATGGAGAAACTGTAAGGACAACAATTTTCTTGTATTTCTCTCCATATCTGTCAGCTCGCTTGAATAATACTCTTCTTCGTCTACCTTTCCACTGCATTTATCGATCCTCCAACTCCCACTGACCTACTTCCAACATGCGTACTGCAAATAATTCAGAGATGGATCGTATCCCTCCACCACCGTACACAGAGGTAGCAGATGCGTCGGACGCAGCAAGCCAGCCTGTTCAAGCAAGCCTACGGGGTGGCTACATGCGACCTTCGCTGCCGTCAGAAATGCCATCAGATGAGAACAATCTCTCGTCGGCTATCACGTACTTCGAAGATCCAGACGATCCCGACCTACATCGAGCTGGGGTATATCTGAGCTTGGCCGAATACACTATCACGTTCAATCGCGAAACCACTCGTGACGATCTTGCCTATCCTCTTCCCATCGAAACCTACATTGCTCGAGATGTGACGAGTCTCGATTGGTCCACTTTTGTCAACTTTCTATTCCCAATGCGTGACGAAGTCCGCCATGGAAAGCTCAGGCCAGAAAAAGACCCTCAGCGTCACTCATTCATCGAGGAAGACACTCCGGCGCGCCGAGACCGAATCCTAGCAGTCATCGCAGAATGGAATGAAAACTTTTTCAACCCTCGTCGAATCCACATAAAGGCAGGCTTCTCCCCACTGCCTTCATACCCCTCCTCCCGATCCACGGCCATACCATCAGTAGCACAAGGTCCATACGTCGAATCTCGGCCCCTTCAGCCCGCCCAACCGACCATGTATCGTGACGCTCCTGCTCAATGGTCCGCCAATCTGTCAACACCTCAGCCCATCCATCGGTCTCTATCCACCTCATCCTCCGACTCATCTTCCTCCTCTTCCATGGATTCCGTAAAGTCCAAGGACCTCGAAGGTGTGGACCTTGGCCAGATTCGTTCCGCACTGCTCGCTTTCCAATTGGACGCAACCAAGAAAGACCACCTGCACGCGTCGGTGCGCCAGTTGCGTGATGGTTTTCGCTCGCAACGTCGGAATCTTTCGGGAAAGGACAGCAAAGAGCTAAAGAAGGAGTACAGGAATCAAAGAAAAGAGATAAAGAAAGAGGTCAAAGCTGTTGTGAAAGAAGTCAAAGCTACCCGCAAAGCAGATCGCAAGGTTAGAAAAGCCGAGCGCAAAAGTCAAAGAGAGGGCAAGAGGGCTGAACGGGGTGGCAACGATCGAATCAAGGACTCCGAGGATACGGGACGAAGGGCAGAAGAGAGAGCTGCAGAAAAGGTCCGTCACGCTCAAGAAAGAGGCCGAGAAGCCGAAGGGCGGGCATCTGAGAAAGCGGCCAGGGCACATGGGAGAGCGAGAGAAGCACAGGCACAAGAAGCAACAGCGGTGGCTAGAGCTCAGGAGAGGGTTGCTGATGCGAGGGCTAGAGGATGGGACGGCGAAGCGGCGGCGACACAGCGAGCCCAGGAGATCAAGGCACGTACTGGTGCAGCTCAGCGGAGGGCGCGAGAGACTGCAGGGAGAGACAGGTATGAAATTAACGGAGGACAGGAGACTGGTGTCCTGCTCACAGAGGATTGAAAATCAATCGGATTTTGGCTGATGACTTATGAAATTCTGATCTGATAAGCAAGTCTGATCACAATGAAAACCCTTTTCTCACCTTTCCTTACCTTTCGCAATCCCCATAGTGGTCGATAAACTGCAAGCTGGCCTTCTTAACGAGTTGATGGATCTAATTGGTTGCTGAGTGTCGAAAGTGTCTACCTGAGTCGTTGTCAACTTCAGGTACCTTACGATCCTGGGCTACCGTAGCCGGACTTGGCTCCGTCAACGGCCGCTAAAACCCCAGACCAAGGACCCCGCCCTGGGAGCTCTTACTGTACTTTACCTTATGCTGCAGGTTGGTCACGCGATGCTCGAGACGCATCGAAAGATGGGAAGATTCTGAATGTACCTATCATCCTTCCATGTACTTCCAATACTCAAAGGAACTTGATGTGTCCGGTAGAAGAACGCTGGTCAGTATCGCAGTTGATAATTAGGTTTGTAGTCCAGTAGTACTTGGTCCATGTCTTCGAATGAATTTCCAACACCAATTCCTCGTTGGACGAGCTCCCAGCTTTGCTTTCTTTGTTCTCATCACTTCTAGTACCGTAACTAATCAACCCAACCACCAACAGCATCCACAGTCATCATACTTTGATCAATTCCTCACCCAGCAACATAGCAAAACAAATCTTCCATAAGAGTAGCAACCAGTAAGTACTTCTACCCTTCAATATCCATTTTCCTGAACCTCTGTGCCCGCTTTCGTCTGCTCCATTCTTATGTCCTCGAAACTTGTTCTAATTTCGGCGTCTCCCGTCACACCACTTTGCTGACTCTATAATGTTCAGTGACTCGCTCTCACAAACAGAACGACCGTGACCATGCCGGCCTCGCTGACGGCACTGCCGAAGAATCCCAGCACCTTCCTCGCTACTTCGCCAAGTCTGGTCACGTCGACGCCGACCCAAAGAAGGTGAAGAAAGAGGGTGGAGGCAAAGGCAATTGGTAAAATCTAATGACTTTGGCACAACGAAGCGGAGCTCATCATGCCTCCAGGGGCACTCCCGGAGACGAGTCTCAGGACTATGGTTACAACTTCACCAATGCCCGTCGTCGTTCCAACAGCAGCTCTCACGGTCATGCCATTGGCGACTTCAAGACCAAGTTCGAGACTGTCGAGGCCGATCCCGTCTTTGAGGAAGAATACCATGGGGCAAAGGATGATGCTGGGGTAGATGAGCACTTGGGTCTCGAGAAGGGAGATAGCGCGGATAGCATCAGCGGTGGTAGCATTGAGGAAGAGGAGCATGCGAAGAAGGTCTAGACGGCTTTTGTGATGAGATACGGCCGATCACAGCACCGGGATCTGTCGACTCGGTGGACAACAGAGTGGCAGTGTCTGTTGGCTCCAAATAGCACACTGAATTTCCTTGTTGCTCTGCACATGGCAAATGGTAGACGCCTCACAAGTGCTTGCTGTTCGTTTAACAACAAGCAATGAAGTTCCTATTCCTCTGCGCACCGTGAAGAACTAGGCCTCCCCGAGGCCGCGTATCATCCATCCAAACATCCGGTGAACGATCAGTAATTTTAAACCTACAGTTGATGGACCTGAGCAGGACACAGTCGCAAGTCTCACCAAGAACAAGGCTGCAACTACTACTTGCGAGCACTGGAGAGCTCGGGTTATGCGACGTAGACTGTCAATGCCCACACGCGCCCACTCATGTTGATCTGAAATTTTCGTCTTGCGTAGTTCTCTGGGTTTGACGCTGCATTTGGAGTAACTCATCTAGGTTGATCGACTAAACCGGTAGATGGTAGATGATAAAGAATTTCGCCTCTTTCTCTTGTGTGCCTCGCAGCAGTAGCGTAGCGCGACTTTTTTTCTTTTCGTGAGTCCGTGACTTTCTTGGCTGCGTACCGGAATTAACAACACCCTCCGTAATATCAACACAGCCAGTCCTGGCAATTCGGAACGGCTCTCTTTTCGCGTTCTTCTTGCTTGCAAGAACCTGAAAAATGCAGCGGTGATAATCATGTTCTCCCCGGACGTCGCAGTGCCTGCCAGCGTAGCTGCGCGCAACCCTCGAAGACGGCAGCGAACTGGCTCGGACGACTCAGTTGCCCTGCGACATAATCCGAAGAGGATACGGCGATCAGGCTTGACTTCTGAAACATTTCAATCTCCAGATACCACAAAGGTTAACGGGTATATTGCTCATGTCGCAGAGGAGGCTTTCACAAATGGTCACGCGAAGGAACCTGCGAATCTACGATATGCGAGTGTAGATACTACGAGCTTGGCTATTAGGCATAGGGGAGTGAAGAAGGCGGAAAGAGAGAGACGGACGAGCAAGAACGACGGTAGCATCGAATTGGCAAGTTATCACGCCATGGAAGCCTTGCAAGACACTGACTCCAAATGAATCAGACTAAGAATGAGAACTACATCGTTACTCAACTGCCAACGACTCCTGAATCCGTCCGGGATTATCACACTTCAGGTATGGATGAGCATAGCCGAAGAGATGTGGCTGGAGGAGTCTGACTTGCGTACAGGAAAATGGCATGGAGAAATATCAACAAGCCTCGGCTATGCTCTCGCGATGACCCAGAGCCAAGCTATCGTATGGCGGTACGCGCAAGGGACAATGACAGCGGAGCAGCTCAAGCCATTGAGTATCAAGCTCCAGCATCCTTCCAACAACTCTCGACATCCATTACCATTGGGAATTCTCGTGCCTACGTCTGCCGAACCAGCTTTGCTTGTCGTTATGCCCATAAGTGGAAAAATTACATACTGGGAGAGCCTTACAGGTGCCGCAAGTGTCGACTCAAATCGCCAAAGGCAACAAAGCGTCCAGGGTACTGTCAGCGGAATGTTGTCGGGAGAATTCATTACCAACATCACCGAGGCCGGACCACGCGCTTTCGTGCTCACCTTAAGTACAGGTAGACTCGCACACTTGATCGTAAGTGATCTTCAAGGGAAACCTTCAGTCAACGTCCAGTACCTGCGCGACAACGGCGCTCAAAGCGGCGGTGTGTTCGGAAGCTTGAGGGGCGTCTTTAGTAGCGCCGGCTGGAGAAAGGACATCGCTGCAGTCAGAGCCGGCAACTCATGGCAGAGAGGTCAGAGATATGTCGTCGTCGCTACCTCAAAAGGCTCGTTCCAAACCTGGGACCTCAGCTGGAACGGAACGCATTCCTTGGTCAATGATGTCGATGCCAAAGATGACCTCCTCCACGCGTTGATAGAAGGAGCGGACGTCTTCCATGACAACAAAGAACACGTCTTTGAGGTACTGGATTGTACAATCTTACCAAATGGAAGTTCAGGGAACGAGGTAGCAAAAATGCGTAAAAGTGGGGATTGCAAGCTTCTCACCTTGACAGTCCTAAAAGGAGCAGAGTCGTCTCGGTATGCCTTGATTGGTTTGACTCTTGCCGCTGGCTCTGTGACCATCGATGTGGTCCATCCTATCACCTGCTACACAACTTCGTTACCTGTAGAGACTCAGTTCAAACCCCAGGTCTTGGTACCGGAGCCAGCTCAGACGGCTTTCCTAATGTTCGAGAAAAGCATTGTCCTTGTATCGCTTGTGGAAATTGAAGAAACTCCAAGCTCTCAGCTACAAATGGAGGCTCGCACCCTCGCCGATCCCTTCCAAGACGCCCTCGACTTCCGGTCTACCAAACCCTACAGAATTGTTGGGTGCGCTTCGGAAGTGTATGATCGGATTCATGCGCAATCATCTTGTGTGTTAATGATCTACGGTTTTGGTTTCGTCCGCATCTCTGCTTTGCCTATGAGGGAGGGGCAATCGGCTTTGGACAGAGCAACGGTGACGGCGAAGACTAAGCTTGAACAAGCAGTGTTCTTCGGAAACCTGTCGCAAGACTTACTCGATTTCTCTCCAAGGTCTGAGATCTCCTTCAGTCAAGAAGAAGTCGAAGCCGCAGCACTGAGCGTGAGCCATTCTATTATGAGCTCTACTTCGGTTTACATGCCTTCAATAAGTCCATCGATGGACCAGCAGCTCCAACGGAGGTCGACAGCTCTTGCTGATATGAACAAACATCTCAGACAGTATTATCCGCCTCTTAGTAGACTTACACGGTGGAAGCTCTTGTGGAGTGCCGAGAAGATGGCTGCTGCGAAAGCTCTATGGCGATGCTACAATGCAATCATCAGCAATCAGAATAGATCGTCCAATGGCAGAAGTGTTTTAGCAGAGCTCATTGAAAGCCTTCACGAATCCCTGAAGACGGAAAACCAACCCGAGCATCATGAGACAGATGGAGTCAGGCATTGGTTCATCCATGATGTTTGGCGTTTGGAATACATTATTCCCTGGGCCCAAAATATGGTAGAGCTGATGTTCGAAAATGCCGTGGAGGACAACAAGAGGATCGAGCCAGCGATCCAAGCAAGACTTGTCAGTGAAGCTAACGATATTCAACTATCTAGCCTTGAGACGGCTTTCGGCTTTCGTGAGGCTAATATGGCGGCTTATGGCCTTGATGATGAAGCTATGATTGACGGGGTTCTGCTGCGTGGCTATGAAGATTTGCCGGAGATCTGGACTTCGACAGCGAACATTGTGGAAAGAGTAAAGACAATGACTGATGTATCTCGAGAATTGGCCTGCCTCGGTGAGGATGATGATGCAAATGAAGGTGACCCATTGCCAGATCTGGTCCTGAAGCTTGCAGCCGACAATCCTCGGCAGGTACAAATCTGTTGCCAAACGTACATTGAGAGGTTCCGTTGGCTGCAGTCTCGACCGGAACCAGAAAGTAGAGCCGCCGGAGAGAAGCTCAAGCAGGCCCATTTCGCGGTCAGAAAGGCATTGTTCAAAAGTCTACCAGACGTTGGTCAGCCAGAGAAGGGGATCTATCTAGCCGAGAAATATCGCGACATGGACGCATTAGCCGACATCATCGAAGGCGAAATGCTTTCGGTAGAATCTGATGAAACGGTGCGGCTACTCGAAGAGCGCATATACTCGTACTTTGTCAAATTTGGCACAAAGTGGTCAAATGCTTTTTTCAAAAAGCACCTCGACGGCGGTAAGGCTGTGGGTATACTTAACGGCAACGCCAACTTCAAAAAGTATTTGACACAATTCTTTCGGCATCAACCCAGTTACGCAAAGCTAGGCTGGATTCATGAAGTTGCATCCGAGCAAAGCTATGCAGCCGCCGCAGAAGACTTGATGCTAGCGCAAAAACAGGAGACGAATCTTTGGAGTCGGAAGGTCTCACTGAGTATGAGCAAATTAAGTCTCTTAGCGGCGACTGGGAAAGGGCAGGTCAAAGACAAGAGCGCGAAAGATGCCACCCAAACAATCGACAAAGATCTAGCTGTTGTTGCTGTCCAAGAAAAATTGTGCAATTACGTGAAGCCAACAATTCGCAACGCGCTTGATGCCGACGCCGAGGTAGACTTGGCTTTGCAGAAGTACGGCTCCAACGTGCAAGGCAAGTCTACACTACGGCATAGCCTGGAGGGACACTTCCGCAAAATGCTAGCTCTTGAAGCCTTACCTCCGGAAGCTCTGATCGATACTCTTACCCTCCTCGGCGGTGAGGGCGCTTCTCCGGACAACGAAGGCTTCATGGGTTCCCGCTTCTTCTACGCCTTCAAGGTGATGAGATTAGCCTCTGCCGAAACGAGTGACCCTGGATTCAAAGAGCTGCAAGAGAAATTTATCTGGAGGCGATGCATGATCCAGGATGACTGGAAGGCTATCAACCGTACTGAGCTTAAAGACGATGCCCAGGCCGAGGTCGAGACTAACGCTACAGCCCTCTTTAAGACTTTGAGAGAAGGATTCAGGACCGGCTTCTGGGACAAGGCTGTACCTCTTCCTCCCGCGAAAGTTCTCGAGGCTGGCACCAGTATTGAAGCTCTTCGTGTATCCTCACATTTTGCCAACATTCCTGAAAACTCGCTAGCAGTGTTAGCGCAAGATCTGGGGAAGGAGGACGAGCTGTTGGAGAAGTATATGGAGGAGGGCCGGCTGGACGAAAGATGGAAAGGTGTCGTTGAGGCCGCAAAGGCTTCGGCGAGAGACGAGGCAGACTCCAAGGGTGAAGAGCAACTTAGGATTCGAAACGTTCAGGAGGAATTCACTGCTAGGATGATAGAGAAGGATCGAGAAGCCTATCCAAAGGCAGGTAGCAGAGAGGATGATACAACCATTGATGACCAAGGCGACGTGATCATGGGCATGTGATGAGCCAGGATACCCACTTAGCATGTCAGCGGGAGACGATGGGAGGACATCCATGAGCGTTGATGAGCATTTTGAGGGG